AGTAATGCCAAAACAGATTTTGATGTGTCCCAAACCTCACAAAATTGTTGTTAGTTTTAAGTAAAATTCTTTCTTCCCCCCTTTTTTTACCCTATTCTTCCCCTCCCTCATGATACACTTTAATAATTTTAATAAAATTTTCAATAGTAGAAAATTAGTCTAACAGTAAATTAATCTGTATCTTTAAGCATATCAACTCTGAATTTTAGTCAAGGATTTAATTTTACATTATGTGCAAATTGCATTTTCTTTTTATAATTTATTAATTTTCACTATAAAATTCCTGCCAACATCATTCACAGAAAAACAAACATAAATGTAATAAAAATTACATTGCAAATACTTTTCTTAAATACAATCTGTATTACCTCTTTTGTGTGATCTGAATAAAATTTAAAACATAAAGGAGAAATTCTGAAGTTTATTTTACATAAATTGTTCTTAATGTGTTTTGTACACAGTCAGAATTCACTGATATCATTAGCAATACAATATATTATTATTTAGAACTGAAGACCTTTTAGATATTATGCCACTGGTTGTCCTGCTCTCCAATACTTTAAAAATTTTACTGTTATTCTGAATTTCAGTGCATACGACTAAATACCCAGCATTAAAAATTTGTCTAGGCATACATAAAACATACACACACACACACACACACACACACACACACACAAAAAAAAAAAAAAAAGAATCAAGTATATTAAAATAAAATAAATGAGTCAGATAGCGAAAATATTCACACAAAATCTAAAACTACTGCAGTAGAATGGAGATGATTCAAAACAATATCCATCTTTTTTTGTAAGAAACAAACTCCATTCCCTTCCTTCAGAAATCGGCTTGACCATATTGTTGCTGATGATGTTGATGTATTTAATTATGGCAAAGCACACGAGGGCTATCTGCCTAAAGGGAGGGATGCCTTTCGTGGAGGACTTTCTAAGGGAAACTGGCTCGTATACACGTTACACATGGGGAAAACCACGAAAACGCCCATGCAGCCAGCCCGTTCGCGGGATTCGAACCTCAGACCGAACTACCAGTGTTCAGCGTCTTTACCGCTCGGCCGCTGGTGGGCGACCATATTGTTGCATGCGTACGGGTTCATTATGAAATGAATGCACAAGTCCGATAAAAAAAAAAATGAACAAAAATTTATTATTATCACAACAAAAATGCTTAAATTTTGTCAAATTATCACGCAGTATTACAATATCTCACAGTAGTTTTCTTTTAACTACTCAAATGTCCAATAGAACGTAATTCAAAACAGCTAAAGAACACTAATCCGCGAATTCGCTACAATCAACAACAGTAGTTTTCTAAACAACAACAAACTAAGCAACTACTACAAACTGAGATGTTTTCCTCCTTTTATAAGATTTTAAAATCACGCGCTAGAATTTTCCAGTACTTTCTCGAAATCAAAAAGAGATATTTATTTATTTAATGCACACGCTCTTGTATTTTCAATTTTCCGGCTTAGCTTTCTTTTAATATTCGTCACGCGCTGCACTGCGCGAGAAATAAAACCATTTAATTTATAATTGAACTAACATTAGCTTTTTAAATACCAAATTCGTAACAATATTATCACTCTTTATATGCTCAGGAATTCTGGAAGAACTAAGAAATGGAAGTCAAATCAGTCTTTGAAGAATAGTGGTAGCCTTTTTTTAACCCAGAAATCTACATTTTCTTGGCATACATACCACAATAATAATACCACTTTATACTTGTCTTATAGTCCTAAAGTGTTAAGTTTAAGGTATGAAAGTAAACTTAGAAATGGCTCAGAGAGTAAGATTTTAAATCTGTAAGGATTATGGCTTTAGTGAATCCTTGCTAACTAATGTGCAACTGTTAAAGGGAGGGGAAAAAAGTCTCAATCCCATGTCAAAATGAGTGGTGTTATATTCAACAGGTACACAGAATGAAAATAAATCATTAAAAATGTCTGCCCTAGCTCCATGATATCTGCTGAATGAGCTGTTTGAACATGTACAGGATTCCGTGCCAGTGTGGTTTAATTTACATTGGTCAAACTAAGAGAGACTTAAAATTTTACGTTAAGGAAGATGAGGCATATGTTAGAAAAAAGGAAAAACAGAAGTCTTCTGTTGCCCAACATTGTTGGTCCGAAAATCGCACTTTCAATTTTTCTGCTGCCAAAATTATTCAAAAAAAAAATCTTCCATTGGTGAACTGGATTTTCTAGAGGCATTTCACATTCAAAATAATCTTTCTGTTCTACTTAATGACTCTAATTCCAATCCATCTTTGCCTTCAGGCCTTTAAAGAAATTATTATTTAGTTCTGGTTTCTTCAACAGATGGCGCCACTTGCTTATTCTTGTCCAGGCTTTCTTATCTTATCTAATCATTATTTCCTATCTCGTTCATTTGCGGCTTTTTTGCAGCTGAGGATGATGGTTCGGTAAAACCATCGAAACTAACCAGTGCAGTGAAAATTTTAAAATATAACGCTGATTTTTGTTGTTTGACTTCTAAATTAATACTTTTTGACGTGTTATTATACCTAATAATTCAATCATTTTTAAGCAGCAAATGCGTAATTTACCATATATATAGATATAAAACAGATTTGGAGGTATTGGTGGCTGTGGCCAACTAGGACTTTTGAACCTCTGAGATTAGTTAGTTTAAGAATAAAGAAAACTGAACTCCTGAGCAGAGTAAATTTTGCCAAGCAAGGTAATAATTACAATTTTGAAAAACTAATTTTGGTCTAGAAAACATCTTGTGCAATATGCTGCAAAAAAATAAGTAAAATATAAAAAAATGTAGTAAGCTCGCCTAAAAGTTACCAAGAGCTGCTGCTCCAAAAAGTTCAACATGTTTAAAAAAAATTAATACATATGAAAATCAAGCCATTAAACATGTAAAACATTAAAAAAAAAAAAAACAGAATCAGATAAAAAGGTAAGCGGAAAATGGTAAATTAGCCCAACTCGACTTCCAAACTGGCTTTTCAAGGGAAATTTAATTTATTTGAACTTCGAATCAAGCTAACCCCATTATGTGTTTCGCCGAAACAGACAATTGAAACTTTTTTGCTACAAAAATTTTTTTAAATTTAGACAAAGTGTCTTGGAAATTTTAATAGTCTCAATTCTCTTTTCCAATTTCCCGACGCGTCCGCACAAAATGACACATTAAGGTGTTAAAATATGTTAAACTATACCTAAACATCTTAAATCTATCTATATATATATATATACTTTTGGTGCAGCCAATTGCAACCAAAAAGGGAGGTGCACAACTGCATATTATAGCAGCCTTAGATACAAAATTTCAACATTCTGAGGCTACTCGTTTTTGAGTTATGCGAGATACATATATATGTACAGACGGCACAAAAAATCTCTTCTGAATTTAAATTTAAATCACTTTTATAATTCCATTTAAGGGAAAAGAGTCCTTTATTCTGTCCTTACGTACAGATGTTATGCAAAAACTTCATTAAATTGCATTCAACAGCGGTCAAAATGGATATTTTCGTTGAAATATGATACCCAGAATTTTTTTGTGATTACAATACAGTCTTTACTTCGTAAGGAAGTTAAAAAGTAATTTTTTTGGAAAACAAAATATTGGATATGGAGATTTATTTAGTTTGCATTATCAAATCATCTGCAAAATAGTTTTAATGAGTGTAAATGGCATTACACGAGCTTCAAACAATTCTTTGTTGTTAGAGAATTTTGTATGTTATTTAGCAATTTACGCTCTCTGAGAAAGCAGATAGGTATCTTATGTATGGGGCTGCAAACTATAATGGAAGAGAGGCATTAAGGTTGTACTATGAATGTTGCCTCAATAGAACAAAGCCAGATCACAAAATTTTTCCACGTTTACACCGCCAGGTTGGTGAAAATGGTTCATTTCACATCACGAGACCATTTGCTGGTTGTTCAAAACATGTACCAGTTCTAGAAATGGAAGAATGCAATCTGAGAGAAGTAGAAGATAATCCAAATACTAGCACAAGGTTGACTACATAAACTAGTAGTCAACCTTGTGCTAGTGTTTGGATTATCTAGTCACAGTGTTTGGATAAACTAGCCTTAGTAAAGACACCATGTGGAAAAACTTGCATGAGGAAAGACTTTTTTTAATAAAACTCAACAGAATTTCATACCACTCACAAAGCACTGAATGCAGCTGATTATTCTCGGTGTGTAGATTTCTGCTGTTGATTCCACCTTTATGTGATACAGTTTTTAATTTCGAAAATTCTCCATGCACAGGCCACTTCTAACCCACATGCTTTCCAGGAGCGGCTCTTCATTAATATGTGGGCAGGTATTGTGAATGATTTCCTTATTTGCTCCTACTTGCTACCACACTGCATCAACAGCACGATGTATTGAATCTTTCTGGAAGAGGTATCAGCAGAATTACTTGATAGTGTTCTAGTTGCTATTCCAAATGCCACGTGGTTCCAGTCCATTTCTGCAATAATGTGTGTAATTACCTCAATGCCAGGCCTCGATGGATTAGACGAGGTGCACTAGTCACTTGGTCTGCAGATTTATCAAGTACAGGATTTTTTCTTATGGGAGCACCTCAAGGTATTCATCAACGAAACACCAATTGACTATGATGAGGACCCCATTGCAAAATTTTCAGTCACTGCTACAACTGTTCGTGAAACACTTGGCATCTTCAAAAGCGTATGGTAATCACTTGCTAGACGTTACCAGGCCTGTATCAATGTTGTGATGGGATATTTGAGCACTTACTAAATAGTATGTAAATAAAGAGCTTTTGTTTATTTCCTCAGCATTTCCTGTTTCGTTTCTGACCCCACATTGCTACACAAAAAATCTTTCTTTATATGTATTTTACCTATTCAAAGCTTGGCCCATGCATTTAGGGACATGCTGTATGTGTAAGAGATGCATTTTTAAGAAGAAATTAATTATTATTATTTTTTTTTTAAGAAAAAGAGAGAAAAAAAGAACCACATACCCAGAAAAGTCAGGGGCAGATTCTGTGACATATACATGAAATCTTTTCTTTGCAGAATAAGCTTCAAGTAAAGTTTGGTATATAACTTTTGAATGCGAATGTATTAAAACTTTCTAGAACAGAAAAGAAAAAATAAAATTAATTATGATTTGATATTTATAAATATGCTTAAAAGTACATGTTAGACTGAATGGAAATACTGAAATTTTATCTAAGGTTGAATGAGACAGAAAATTGCTACTTACTGAAAACCTCCTAATTTTATACGAAAATATTAAAATATAATATTATTCCCAAAGCTTAGTAAAGCAATGAACAGATCAAATTGTGAACAAAACTCAATTTCAAACATATTTAAATGGAATTTAATTTTGAAAATGTTAACACTATTTGAATTTATATTCACACGCTTCCAAACAAAGATTATTTTAAATAACAAAATATTTGTATGTTAATTTTTTCCTGTCACTTCTATTTCTTCCTTCAGCCTTACCAGAATGCAAATTAGATGGGATTTAAACAATAGTAAAGTGTAATTTAGAGACAGTTTTGCAGTGTAATAGGAAAGCAGTTTCTTTTATAGTCACCTATCTGTTAATTGAGATGGTTTTGGTATTTCCATTACTTGTCATCATTTATGCTTACGAGTCAGATTATACAATCATTCAATGCATTATGTGTGCATTATTTAACCTTTTGAATCCCCAAATTTTCTTTAGTTGTATCTATAAGATACAATTACCTGTTGCTAGTGTTTCTTATAGTTCTAGATTTCAAGTTATAGTAATGAAGATAAGTCATCCGAAGCACAGGAAACAAACAGTGGATTTAAGAGTCAATTAAATATAACACTTTGATACTGATCACACGCAGCCATATGTTGTGGTGTTATCATCAAATAGCCAAGCACATGCCAGAATATGTTGATTATGTTATGTTAACACTTGTTCATACTTTAGTTGGCATAGTTTAGTTTAGTCTGAAGCATTTGCAATTGTATAGGCATGATAATATATGCACTAAATTCGATTTTTTTAATTTGGGTATTACATTTTTCAAGCAAATTGTTTCAAAGTTTTGCCATAATATGAATGCATAAAGGACAACTTATTAGGGCCCTTTCATTCTAAACGAGCAAGATACGAGGTAAAGAGATCTATTAACAGATAAAGAACTTGCAAAATATTTACAAGACAATTTATCAAATGAGTGAATTCGGTCCCTTCGGTGATAATGATACACATGTAGAAGTTCTAAAATAAATGCTGAAATTTCAATACAAGAATCTGTTACACAACGAAATTGTAGTTTGGAGACATAAAAGAATATCTATTAAATTCTTTCTCTGAATTATAGTGAGGTCTGGTAAACTTTGTATATTTGCCTACTCTGACAGTGAATATGCTAAACTTCTACATTATCACAATAATTTTAATTAGCTGTACACATTTTGGTAAACAAAAGCAAATTTCTTTTGGATAGTTCTCCATAAAGGACACCTTTTCTTAGGGAGATAATTCCCATGTGAGTTGGTTTCATCTATATAACTCACTGTATCATTTTCAGAAACAATTCCTAGCATTAATCCAACACAAATTTAAGACATGAAAATTTTCATCTTCAAATGTGAAGAAATATTTTAAAATATTAAAAATATATGAAATATGCAAAGATACTTCAGATAGTTGTTTTTATGTTAAGAACTAGTAAACAAATAAAACATTTCAAATTAATATCTTAACCTTTTGAATCTAATAGTATAGAAGTTATGCTACATTATTTATTTTCTTAAAATGAAATACTGGAATGAATAATTAGATTGCATCATTTCACCCATTCTTCCCTTGTAAATATTGTACCATAGTATCCACTCTCCCTATTTTTGAATAATGCATAGTACTCTAATACCAATACTCTAAAATTTATTTGATAAAAAGATTAGACGATAATTGAAGGTCATCACAACTTTCTATTTCACTTTTATCATATCAAAATTTGTTTGATAAACAATAGACAACAATGGCATGGTATATCTAACAAAGTTCTAAAATAAATCTAAATGTGTGGTTCAGTGGTATTTCTATCTAAATCAACATTCAGTCTAGTTTAAAAGGTAATTTATAAGAATACCAAAACAAATTAACCGGACCTAGAATCAATTTGCATCTCATCTGCATCATTCAAACTGCATCACCCAAATCGAAAGCAAGTTCTAAAGTTCAGACTAGAAGTTGTTATACTTCAGTTAGAAAAGTAGATGCCAATTCATCAATTCTGTTCAACATTCAGTTGTTTTGGCATCTAGAGGAAGTCTCTGTGAGAGACAGTGACTCATTATTGCAGGAAGATTTAGAGGTTATTAATCTGTTTAATAAGAATTTACCGCTTAATGAACAAACAGTAACTAAAAGACTCATTTTGAAAACCGTTGACAAAATTCATCATCCAATTGGACTCATTTCTGCTTATATAATTAGAGCTAAGTTTATGATTCAAGAATTATGGAAATATGGTTGCAATTGGAATTCCGAGGTACCTGGAGAGCTAAGAAGGAAGTTTTAGACATGGTATTCTGAAATCGAGGAACTTGTTAACATTAATATTCCTAGAATATATTTTTTGTGTGGTTTAGTAATTAATGCATAAAATATGATCCCAATTGTTTTCGCCGATGCCAGTATCAAAGGATATGGTAGTATAGCGTATCTTCAAAATCCCACTACTTTGGAGACATCCTTTGCACTATCTAAAAGCAGAGTAGCTTCCCTAAAGAAGTTTACACTTCCGTGCTTGGAACTGATGGCAGCTACTATTACTACTAGGATAGCTAATTATCTGAAAACACTCTTTAATATCAAGGTCCACCTTGGCTGAAGAAAGGTAACTTCAGTAATCAAAGGGTAAAACCTATTTTAGATCTTGAACTTTGGCACTATGCCAAGCATCGCAAGCATGCGAAGTAGTTGTAAACCAGAACCAAGACTGGAATGCGAGTAGTTGCAGATGTACGTGTAAGCGAGGATGATATCTTTTGTATATAAAAAACTAGCATGTAGTTTAATATGGTGTCTTGTGAAATAATTACCTACCAAGGATACACAAGAAGAAGAAATCCAGGACTAACAGCAGTGGCATATGGGCGGACATATTGATCAAGGATCTCATCTCGATATCTCACACCCATCAAAGTTCCTCCATGGAACATATGCAAGTCAGTTTATCCCAGCCCAAACCCTTATTCCACCACTTTTCTAACTGTGTCTTTCCACAATGTGGGATTGGTTGTATTTGGTGAGTTGTTCCCTCCAGATCAGCTGACGACCTGAATCACTCTCCAATGTGAACCTGGATTCATCTGTGAAGAAAAGAGAACACATGCCCATTGTTGGTTGGTACAGGAGATGTGTTTCTCTTGCCCAACATAAACGGGCATCTCTGTGTCCTCGTGTCAAGCGTGTACAGATAACTGGTCATGTAGCATAGAGACCTGTAGCTGAGATTCTTGTTCCTGTTGCCAGTAAATGACCTGCCATGAGCTGAGGCACAGTAATGTTGCTCCTATTTCAGGCCAAAAAAGTTAAATAACAGTCTCCTGCAGGTGTTCTAAGTCTGCCTGGAACATGTCTTCTAGACACAGAATCCTCAGATTCAAACTGATTTCATAGTTGGTGGACCACACTACGGGAGACATCGAGACGTCTAGCAGCATCAGTTTGTGACATCCCCATTTCCATTCATCCGATAGCTCGCCATCTCAATGAATCGGGCAATTGGTAGACTCTCCTGGATATTGTCCACCAAACTGTAACAACTGAAGATCAACACTCATGAACAAAAATTACATTTTTTGCATTTTATCTCAAACTCCTATATAAGTATTCATTTCTATAAAATAAAAGTGGTAGCTATTGTTTCTGCATATATTTTCTTAATCTTCATTACTGTCATACATATGATTTGTGAATTTAAATGTTACTGACATTTTTTCAATGGTGAGCTTTGAAAATCAGGCTGTTCCTTAACTTTTGAAGGGTAGTTTATATACTATGTTTCAAATTGAAAATTACAAGATATAAAAACTATGGTATAATTAAATTTGCAAAAATATGAATACACATAATGAATAACATCTAAAATCCTTACCATGCCATCAACAATAAATGTATGACCTAATTTAGCGATTTTCATTCGTGCACCAGATACTCTCTCAAGAAACAACTTTCCTCTTTGAGATAATACTCGTTTACATTCTTTAAAGTCCTAAAAAGATTGGAGTAGGAGAAATCAGCAATTGTATATGAATTTTAAACATAAAAATACATAAATAAGAAAGTAGAACAGAGCTCAATTTCCGAGGCCTCCAAGATTTTGTACTAGGTTTGTAATATATAGCATTATGAACATCATTATTAATTAAAATAATGCATCAAATGCCAATAAAAATTATCAGTTTCATATAAAAAATTACAGAAATTTAAAATTACATCATTCAAAATAAAATTAAACTAAAGGTTAGCAATGATGCCAAGGCCACTGGTCTATGATTGATGGTCATTGATGGTCAGTTTATAGATCACTGACATGAGACAATGCTAGAATTAGGATAAATTTTGCTAAACAAGCAATCATTTTCAAATGCAGATGATATTTCTTGTGATGTGGTTTCATTTAAAACAAACACTAGAACATCCTCCTCCAAAACAACTCACAAAAACTTTCAAGTATCCAAATTATTATGCGAGTAGCTGAGTATACTTTTTGAATACATTATTTTATCATATAGAATATTTTAATTATATTTATTTTCAACAAGCAAGGCTTAAAATACAGATAAAATAATATAGAAGAAAAAATTAACTTTATGTTTCAATATTTAGTACAAGATATCTATGCCAAATTCAAAAATAGAAATGTCTGAAAATAGTACCATGCCATCAACAATAATCAAGTTGTAAGAACAAACGAAAAAAGACCAATTTTGGTCAAAATTTTGCGCATTGTGCTGCAAAATTAAAAAAAATTAGAAGATAAATTTCAGTACACATGCCAAAAAGTTACCAAAAACTGTGGCTCCGTGAAAACTTCAACATAAGTATATTTAGTTGCTATGAAATGTGTGAAAGAGGAGAAAAACAATATTTGAATATTTACAAGTTAAATTAATAAAAAAGCTATATGCTAAAAATTTTTAACACAGTAAAAAACAAATCAATTGAACGAGGTAAAATAAAGATAGTAGGCTATATGCTAAACGAAGAAAATAAATTTTAAAACACAATAAAATACTAATCAATTGATCAAGGTAAAATATAAATATTAAAATTAAGAAGCAGTAAATGGTTAATTTTGGCTTGTCAAGGGAAATTTTTAAAATGAATTTCGAACCAAGCTAACTCCATTACGCGTTTTGCCGAAACAGACAATTGAAACTTTGCGTGCTAAATTTTTTAATGAATTAAATAAATGATGTCAAAAACCTTAGTCTCAATTCTCTGTTCCAATTTCCCAACGCGTCCACATATATTAACACATTAGGGTGTAAAAAATGGAAAGGCAATTCCGATGTACAGAAAAAATAAATAAATAAATAGCGATATGCTATTAGTCAAAATATACAAGGACATACACATATAAATGTGATGTTTTAAATGCACAATTAGAAATATGAATGCATAAACCAACTCCCAGATGTGGCTGTTCTGAAACCTAGTTTAGTATTTTTCCGTTTCGCTGGTGCAAATCTTGCCAAGCAGATTTTATTGGCGACAACACACAGCATATGCATAAAAAATGCTAATAAATGTTTGTTCTAAGAATTTTTTATTTTGAAGTCATACACATTTAATATCTTTTAAAATTTTATAAAAAGGCGAATAATAAAGACAATAAATTTGTAAAAAGACATTAATTTAAGAATTTACTATGCTTTCATGGTAATACAGTCAAAAGTCATTAATTCGGACGCCCATAATCCGGACCTCAAAGCTACAAACTTTCTGCGCATGCGTCTTACGCGTGCATGTAAGTAAGACCTTTACAGACCTTTACAGCTGCGAATATGCGTGTGTGCATGCACATAATACGTTTATGCATGCGCATTTAATGTATAACGGACGGTATAAGCTAAGCTAAAATTATCTAATTCAGTTAATGTTGCAGATTGTGTTGTTCCTTAATCTTCGAATTGGATCCGGCTTATTATTTTTTGCAGACTGTTAGAGCAATTTTATAAAAGTAAGCTTGAACTTTCGATTATGTCAAATAGAATTTCCAATATATATTTACTAATATGTAAAGGATCTACAAAGCGAAAGTATGTTCCGAAATCTCTTTATCAATTTCACGCTGCTCTGCGGCGGGGGGGGGGGGGGAATGAATTGGAAGTTGATCTGTCAGCACTATCTTTATCTTCACGGCAGATGTTTTTATTTTATTTTGCTTATGCAATGAAATACTAAATGTAGCATTTCATCTCGATGTACTCCGTCTTTGATATGATTTAAAGCAATTATGGGACTTGAACAGCGGAACTTTGTAACTAAACATGAAATTATGTCTGTTTAATAGAATTAAAGAGAAAGTATTATCATATGAAACAAAGCAACTTAAACAACTTACATTGAAAGAAATGTTTAATAAAGTAAACAAATAAATATTAAGCTTTTTCTTTTTGTAAATTTTGATACCCTTTAGATCATAATTGTTCTTTATTTCATAAATTATGGTTTCATATTTTTAATTTTGTAATTTCTGCATGCCATCGTACCAGATTTAAACTGATGATCTATAATCCGGAATCGTCGAAGTCCCGACGAGTCCGGATTAACGACTTTTGACTGTACTGATTTGCCGGTTCATATCACGTGACCCCGAGTGATCTCATCTCACGTAAACTACACTACAAAAATCTAAATCTTTCAGTAATTATCTACGATAATTTCAAGTTAAATATTAGTATGGAATACAAGAATTATTTCAATTCATATGAATAGCTTACTCAGAAATTATGTAAAACCGCAGTGCTTTACTTCGCTGGTGCATTCTCATTAGAATGGATGAATTTAACCCTTGACTTTGCCTTTTCTATATTTTCGCTTTCAGGTGAGCAATGTGATTGCAAGGTGAGCAATGTGATTGCATCCTAATTGACTTACTTACCGCTAATGTCCTTAGGGCATAAAATTGAGCCATCTGGTAAAAATGCTATGCAATTGTAAGCCCGTATTGAAAGAAACAATCATCTTATAAGAAATGGCTGCGACTTGTTTTGAAAATGCGGCATAAGAGGTTACCAGCGAGGATATTGCATTTGGCATCGGTTGTACCATTTTTGGTGACTTTATCACCTACGCCGGCAAAATGGAAAAGTACCCATAATTTTATTCCAGGATAATTCACATCAGATCATTTTGGCAGACAAGATGTTTACCTAATCATAGTTAAATATGATAATTTTTATATACATGGATTTTAAAAGTATGACATAAGCATTTTAGACAGGAAAGTATAGCGCATGGAGATGTTTGCATGGCAGAAGTTAGGAAAAGAAAGGCGTAATTGCTCGTGAAGCAGTATTTATACTAGGTAGATGCATAAGTACAGCTAAGCCATGATTGGTTAATTTTAGGTTTTAGTTCTCATTTCAAGCAGTGTTATGTAATTTGGAAAGATCTCAAATCTGGGAGAACCGATGAACTTAGGGTAAGAATATAAAATCTAGAATAGTCAATTTTGAGGTTGCTAATTATTTCTTAACACAGCCATCATATTTTATTATATCTTACATATCCTCCTTTCAAAAAGAAAAAGGCATAGCAACAGATAACCTTTTTTAAAGAAAAAGCATTAAAACACTACCAAATGAAGAAAAATGTGAATCGTAAAATTTTAATCAACATAATTAATTAAATAAAATATAAATTTTGAATATCTTTTTTTAAAAATAAATTTAATTTTTAGAGTCTTTTTAAATTTTGCAGCATTTTAGTCCAAAAGTCTTTTTGTTTGAGAGTTAACATAATCATAACTCTTCAGGGAAGGTTCTTGTTATCACAGAGTATCATAACGATAATGTATAAGTAATGATATAATAAAATACGATGACTACGAATTTAAATAACTGGCAACATTAAAACTGACTATTCTAAATTTGGTGTTCTCCCTCTAAATTCATCTTTTCTCCCAAGTTCGAGATCTTTCCAAATGACATAACACTGCTTGAAAAAGGTAACTAAAACCTAAAATTAACCAATCACAGCTTAGCTATACTTATGCACCTACATAGTATAAATACTGCTTTGCAAGCAACTACATCACTCCTTTTCTTAACTTCTGCCAACATCTCCACGCTGCCATGTTCTTTGTTCTTTATCTAAGGTGATGTACATGTATATAAAAATTATTGTAATTGATTATGAACAAAAAGTACATTGCCTATAAAGAAATGATATGGGTGTGCCTAAAAATAAAGATGGTTATTCACCGAACTTAATTTTGTCAATGTCTTCTTCCTGCCTTTTCCACTCAGCCATCATGACTATGCCTTAAAATAAAATATGACATTTATAGTATATGTAAGATATAATAAAATATGATGGCTGCATTAAGAAATAACTGGCTACTTCAAAACTGACTATTCTAAATTTGATGTTTTTCCCTAACGTTCAGCTTTTCTCCCAAATTCGTGATCTTTCCAAATTACATAACATTGCTTGCTATGAGAACTAAAACCCAAAATTAACCAATCGCAAGTGGTACACATACACCTACCTAGTATAAATACTGCTTCACAAGCAATTACGTCATTCCTTTTCTTAACTTCTGCCCTGTAAACATCTCTGCGATGCTATGCTTACTTGTCTAAGATGACATCGTACTTTTTTAGCTTGCGTACCTAAAAATTATTGTAGCTGATTATGATCCAGAACTATCTTATCAATAAAAAAACTGATTTAATGTGCATTATCAAAGAATAAAATAATGTTTCGAAACAGCCACATCTGGAAGTTTTTCGTTTATGCATCCACTTTTCTAATTATGCAGTAAAGCCTCACCAACGCCAATCCACTACAAACTTCTTTCTTAGAGTCAAAACATCACACACACACATACATACATATATATATAAACTAATAGGAAATAATAAAATAGATACTTACACTATGATCTAATGAAGTAAGAGTTATAAAACGCATGAAAAGTTCACATGCTGATTTCACAGATGTCACAGAACAGTCAACACAATTTAATGCTTCTACAACAGACTTGATGTTGCTGTCTAATTCTTGAATAGTTTCAGCTAGGGAAGAGACAGATATGAAATATGAGAGTTTTAACATGCATAATAAACATTAAAAATATAGCCATCTGCAAATACAGAAATACATGGTCTAATTAGGAAAATGTACAATCTTTGTTTCACTTGTTTCACCCAAATTTTATGTAATTATAAAGAACCTCAAAAGTCAACTTTCAGTTTTTGTGAATATGCGGTCCTGAGAAGAGTATACTGTTCATAGGACAGATTATGAACGATCTAAAAGCCTCACTGCAACTTTATTAGCTACCTTAACTAACTTCTCACAGTAATTTAAATAAAATAATTAGTGATGAGGTTGCATAATGAAAACTGTTGAATTTAGAGATCAAGATTTTATGTTTTATAAATAAAGATTAAAATAGTACAAGTTTTTAAACACTGACATTGATTTCATAATACAGTCAAAAGTCGATAATCCGGACTCGTCGGGACTTCGGCGATTCCAGATTATCGATTTTTCCGGATTATAGATTATCAGTTTAAATCTGGTAAGAGGGCATGCAGAAATTATAAAATTAAAAATATGAAACCGTAATTTATGAAATAAAGAACAATTATCATCTAAAGGGTATCAAAATTTACAAAAAAAAGAAAGCTTAATATTTATTTGTTTACTTTATTAAACATTTCTTTCAATGTAAGTTGTTTAAGTTGCTTCGTATTTTATGTGATAATACATTCTCTTTAATTCTATAAACAGACGTAATTTCTTGTTCAGTTACGAAGTTCCGCTGTTCAAGTCCTATAATTGCTGTGTCTACCAACTAATTTGTCAATCGAAATTTTTTCGATTTCAATAACCGAATAATAATAACCGAATAATTTCAATAACCGAATAATAATAATAAATTTTTTCGTTTTCAATAACCTCTGATACTTTCTTCGCTATCGGAAGCGAATTATAATGATGAGGAATTTGATTTAAATCATATCAAAGACAGAGTATATCGAGATGAAATACTACATTTAGTAAGGAATTATAAGCCAAATAAAATAAAAACATCTGCCCTGAAGATAAGGATAGTGCTGACAGATCAACTTCCAATTCATTGCGCGCCACGGCGTTAAAGATAAACAAACGTTAAAATTTAGATAAACAAAGGATATGCCTTTATCCATTTTTTTGCAGAAATTCCACTTTTTGTTCAATGGACTTCGAAACATACTTTCGCTTTGTAGATACTTTACACATTAGTAAATATATATCAGAAATTCTATTTGACATTATCGAAAGTTCAAGCTTACTTTTATAAAATTGCTCTAACAGTCTGCAGAAAATAATAAGCCGGATCCAATTCGAAGATTAAGGAACAACGCAATCTGCAACATTAACTCAAATAGATAATTAGATAATTTTAGCTTAGCTTATACCGTCCGTTATACATTAAACGCGCATTCGTTAATGTATTTTGGGCAAGCACACGCATATTCGCAGCCGTAAAAGTCTTACGCGCATGCGTCAAAGCGACGCATACGCAGAAAGTTTGTAGCTTTGAGGTCCGGATTATAGATCATTCCGAATTATGGGTGTCCGAATTAACGACTTTTGACTGTAATTCTTTCATTTTTGTATTATGGCATTTTTATGCATGTACAATTAAAATTTAAAACAATACAAGAGAATGAAGCAACACAAAATACACATATTACACTCAGAAAAAATGTTAAATTAAATGAACATATTTTTACTGCATGTTACAATGCAAATAATATTATTCTAGACATACTTTGGGAAGTTTCCATATTAACATTTAACTAGTATGATACGGCTTACCTTATCACTTTATTACTTCCAAGATTTATATCATATACATACATATCAACACTTTACTATCTTTAATGCAGATATTGAGTACATTATACATTCAAATAAATACTAATCATTTCCATGAATAACTGATAGTGTACTTCAAAAATATTCAGAAAAATATACTGTTTTATTTAGGCAGCTTTGTACCAACGTTTTAGAAATTTTTCATCGTGCCAATTAAGGATTATGATCATCAAAATTGTTACAAATTTAAGAATCAACATACATGCTAATATGATTTCGACATTCAACACTGGCTAAAATTATAAACACAGCTTGAAAGAGACTAAATTCTTGAAAATGAACTAAAGATATATTATTAGAATCTTAAAATAATATAAATTTGAATTAAGAATCATTAACTATGAAATTTAGTAAGCTCTTATTATTTATTAAGCTCTACCATTTCAATGGATGTATCTTATCAAATATCAATGCTTATTAATAATTTAAGATTCTTGAATTGCCCATTAATGCATTAATTATCTTCAGTCTTAAAAATATTATTTTTACCAAACATACAGTTTATTTCTCCTTTCAAATTTAAACAGTTTCTAAAAGTTTAAGATCACATAAGGAAGAAAAAATTTATAATTCTAAAATACTTATTCATTACATGTATCTTTAATCACGAAATCTAGAAGTACAGTCAAAGCTGCAACTGCTGCAGAGACATCAGGCTGATTTTCCAGAATGTTTCTGAAATCTAACACAGCACCTAAATATTAAAATATAAAAGATAATACTATTTCAGTTTCAAAAGATTTTATCGAATAATAATATCAGATTCAGTACAGATCCGCAATTAATCTTAAATTTTAATGGTTTTTAAAGCTCATGACATTTTATTACTGAGCAAAATATTGGTGATAGAGGAATATAAGTAATATTTGTGATTCAAGCCATAAATATATTAAAAAAAATTAATAAAAAATCTGAAAGCTTTCAGATTTTATATGCTACCCAAACGGGTTTTTTTTTTTTAACGTTTTATGTGTTGTCTTTACTTATTAAATATCATGTTCTTTTCAATTAAACCATAAAATTCAATTCAACAGCAATATAACAAAATTTAAAAAGAGCTATCTTTAGAGTTTTCGATACACAGTCTCACGCGCTGGAGATATATATATTTTTTTTCTGTACAGTGTTACCGTTGCTCACTTTGAAATTGTTGAGTTTCTTAATCAAAAACTTTAATCAAAACTGCTTTACAAAATATTAAATAGATAATACAACAAATTTCGAATTTGGGCTTCCAGATGACCATATTCAGGTGGAGATATATGTTATTCAAAATTTGATGGCTCTAGGTACCATTGTTTTATCACATGCGAGAAACATACATACATTCATGCAGATTCTTCCTTATTTAGCTTCTTTAAATATAATACAAGGCGATAATATTTGGTGGCAACAATTTGAAATGTGAAATTATGGCAAAACAAAATTAATAGCCCTTTTGGCTAATTAACAAATTCTATAACAGTAATCATGCATTCTTACCTACCAGAATGCCCAAAATGTTAACCAGATGATTAAAGTCATTGATTTATTTCATGATTTTAATGAACTCTTATTTAAAAAAAAAATTACTGAATGAGATCAAACTATTGTGAATCACATAACAGGATCTTTAATATATTTGATAGTATTGTATAAAGCTGTAAAATTTTACAAGATTAACTATGCTGCTCAAATTTATATCTGTTTATATACTTTAATGTTCCACTTCTTGATAGAAAATCTTTATAAGAACTGACCACATCAGAGTGGTGGAAATCTACAGTTACATTAAAACAGTTAAAGAATTACTGAATTAAGTGCTATTGAAACACATCAAGTTGGGTAGTAAATAACTCACATTTAACATAGTTTAATTAAAGAGAAATAATATATTTTCAGATATGTAGAATATATTTCTTTATTTATATTATAGAATGAGTTCACTTTAAGCCAATACTATTTACGAATTTATTACAATTAAGGAATATTTGCATAAAAATTTCATTAACTGTTGCACCCTGGGGTCCACGGTCAGGAAAGTATATGTTGGGGCACTGCAGGCCATGGCGTACTATGGCTGTTGCGCCACTGAGTTTAGTTTATCATTGGCTGTAATTATAAAAGTTACAAAAGACTAATTACGAAATAATTGCATCAAAGTGGCAAGTTGCATTTATGGTGGCTCACATTTATAATCCGACACTTGCACGTTTCAAATTTATTAGCATACATCTTATATTAAGTACTAAAATCCAGTGATATAAATCCAATCCCAGTACTGAAATCGAACGGAATTCATTCAATATTTTTTTCAAAATTTTAAACCTTGCTTATTACACAATAAGTATCTTTAAAATACTATTTGTAAAAAAATAATTTATTCAAAAAGTGTTAATCATTAACTTGCATAAGAATTTGGACATTAAAAAATTTCATTGAGATATTGGCAGGCAACGTTGCTTGCTTTTTTTTTTTTTTTTTTTTTTTTATGAAACTGTACTACTAGAATTATCATCTGCATTTGGAAATTATTACTTGTTCTTGAAAATATATTAGCATTTCTATATCTCAAATGAATATGCCAAGAGGCTACAAATTAACAATAAGTTTTGTTAGGAATTTAACTACTTATTTTAAAAATGGTTAAAGTATTCAAAATATCCAAAAAAATCATTGCTGTAAAGCATTCAGTTATTTTTTGTGTTAAAATGATGGAAACTGTTCAAAATGGAATAAAGTTTGGACTACATTCCAAGCTGAGCAGAGGAATCGCAGAGGTTTTCAATAAAAGTTAACCATCAAACTACCAAAAGAGTCATTACAGCACATGTCTATAATAGGTAGTCAGCAAGAAGGAAATTCTAGGTCAACAAGAAAATTAAGAAAATATACTTGGTGTTCACAAAAACACATAGTAAGCAAAGATTTATCATATTGAAATTATTTTATATTTGGAGACGAGTCAAAATTTAATATATTTAGGTCCAATTAACGAACTTCTATGTGGCGAAAGCCAAAAGCAGACTTAAATCTGACAAACCCACTGCCTACGGTTAAGTGCAAGAATAAAGGAATAATAGTTTGGGTATGCTTCACTGTCTCTAAGATAGGAAATTTAGTTTTGTTTTGTTTTATAAAATTTAGACAGAATCAGTATAAACATAGGAACATTTTTAATGAAAAAGGCATCTGGAAGAAAAACTGAAATGCAAAATACATTGATGTTTAATCAGGATTACAATAATAAGCATACAGCCCAAAATGTTCACTTCTAATTATTACACAACTGCCTTGAAGTTCTTAAATATCTCATTTTTTGGACTTGAATTCGAACAAACATGCAAGGAGTGAGAGGAAAGAATAAGAAAACATGACATTTCTTCTAAAGCTCTACTCAAAATGCAATTATAATGGAGAAATGGAACAAAACGTAACATCCATACATGAAAAAATTGGCTAAATCTATGCCATAGCACATGAAAATTGTACTTATAGTTAAATGATGCACAACAAAATACCAAATCTCTTGTTGTTTTTACCGTTTGGTAAAATCCTAGCATACGGTGCAGCCTCGGCACGATTTTGAAAATTATCGCCAACACCAAAAATGACCTAAACAACGTCTAACTATACACTATATACATACCCAAACAACGTCTATGTATATACTATACACTATATACTAAGTATATACTATGTATAACTATATATATTCTTGGAATGACCTGTTTACTACTCATCGTATATGTCCCGTTTTTATTGCTCATCATAAAGTCGCCAAAAGTAGCCAATTCCCGTGTGCACCGGATACTAGGATTAACCCTACCGTTTTATTAAACATAACTTCTTTGTTCAAATTGTCTGAATACCTACGTGAGTGCAATTTCAGAACTTTTTGAATAAACTATTTTTTGTGAAAAGCATTTTGAATAACTTTTTTCAAAACAATCAAATTTTAAAAAATATGTTCAGTTGTATATGTGAATGAAAAATACATTCATTTCACTAATTTTTAACAACTGACATGCAAATAAAGTTGAAAAGCGCAACTGTCTGAAAACAAATGTGAGCCACTGTAAATTCTCTCTCTCAAGGAAAGATCAAACAATAAATATATATATTTTGTAGAAAATACTAACTTTCATTATTCATCTTCTTTTATTTATGCTGAATTCAATAACTATATAATGCTACAAAAGAGAAAAAAAAACTTGAAAATAGTGAATATAAATCAATTTAATCGTAAAAAAAAGTGAAATAAATAATTCATAAAAACGTATATTTCATAGGATGGAAATGTTCTAAATAATGATTTGAATAATCAAGCTTTTGTAGTAAACATTAAAATTTTACCAAAACATATGTAAAACATAAAAGTTCCAAAAGTAACTTTCGGAAACAACACAGATGGCCATTTGTTGTCCCACGGTAACAAGTCTTTCGGCCTTAAGGCCTAAAAAAGTATGTTTTGATGATAACTTTAATTAATTTTTCAAGCAGTATATTGTTTCAATAAACTTTATATTGAAATGTACAACTTGCACAAAAGAGGGAGATTGTTCTTATACCTCCCGTTCTGTTGGGCCGATTGACGAAATTTTAACTTGCCTATTACATGTCTCGAAAGCGGAAATGTTTTATTGACTACAGATGTTACGAATTAGTGAATCATTGTCCTAAAACTATTAGAAAGTAAAGTGCATAAAAAACTATAAGCAAAGCCATCGAGCTGATGAATTACATAGAATATCAAATTTAGAAACATATAACAGCGTACAAAGTGGAATATAAGAATACAGGTACAAAAATTACCAATTGTAACAGAAATAATAAAGACCAAAGACTTTGGGAAATACACCAATAACAAAGTAAATTGTTGATAATATAAGAGCAATTTAATGTAATATACGACTGTGTTGCAGCCCTCCTGGCCGATAATAATCGGCCTCATGGTTAAGGCAGCACATTCAACACAGATTAAAACAAAAATATACTTAATAACATCAAAAAAATTCCCAATATTGCCATTTATAAAAATCATCAACTCGTTTGCAAATTTAAACGTTTTCCTGTGGCAACAGAATTCCTTTACGTTACCGTGTTTTTCCCTAGCATATCGCAGTAATACACAGTCTTCAACGAAATGTCATGCATTGCCTTTAGTACTTCAAAGACTATTATTTTGCGAATTAAATCTTTTCAGGTACAGTCGGTCACAAAAGTATTCGAACACCGGTACCCTATCAGAAAATGACAAGATGGCGTTTTTTTTTTCTCTTTCTCTCTGTGTGTCGTGTTATTCCATCCTAGGTTTTCTTCTCCCCCCCATCTTGGAAAACCTGGAAAAAATTGGTTACGATCTCTTTTTGAATGGGGAGATGCCATTTTGAGAAAAAGCTGACGACCCTATCTTGGAGAATGAACATGACCGCTCTACACACCCTTTTACTCTCTCTCTCTCTCTCTCTTTGAATTGGGAAGCCATTTTGGGAAAAAGCAGACGACCCTATCTTGGAGAATGGAAATGAACGCCTCTCCCTCTCTCTTTGAAATGGGAAGCCATTTTGGGACCCTCTATTCTTGGGGAGGGAGAAAAACTGAAGTCTGCATTTCGCTGTCTCTGAATACGGAAAGCCCTTTTGGGAAAAGCGGACCCTCTTCTTTTGATCTTGGAGAACTGGAAATGAACGCTCTACACGATCTCTCTTTGAATTCAGAAGGTATTTTGGGACCTTCTAATGTTGGAAAACTGAAATGAACGCTCTACACCTTCTCTCTCTCTCTTTCTCTGAAATGGGTAGCCATTTGAAAACTCCCTAACTTTGGAAAAAAACAGAAATGAACGCTCTACACCATCTCTCTTTGAAAATGGGGGGGTGTCATTTTGAGACCTCCCTCCCCTAAACTTGGAAAAAAAAACTGAAATGAACGCTCTACACTTTCTCTCTTTGGACATGGGTAGCCCTTTGGGGACCCTCTCCTCTTGGTATAAAAAAAAACAGAACTGAAGTGAAGGCTCTACACAATCTCTCTTGGAATGGGATCCATATTTCGGGAAACGTGGATCACCTCATGCTGGAAAACTGAAGTGAACCACCAAGATTGGACTCTATATAATATTTTTTTTTAATTGACATCATGACCCTCCTCCCATTTGTTATTAAAAAATTGTTTTTTTTTTGTTTTGGTTTTTATCCCATTTCCGATGTGATTTCAGAAATGCAATTCCATAACAGTTCAATTCCATAACAGTTCAATTTCATTCGAGGTTAAATGATCTAAACAGTCTTTGACCCACCCATCCGTATGATTATTTTCTTCTCCTTCCTGTTGCACCAAATTTTGTAAGTCCATATAATCATTCCATACGGGAAGGGCTGGATCCTCACAAGGCTGTCTTGAAACACTTGGAGTCTCTTTGGGATGAGTGGAGGGATCTAGGATGTCTGGACCCGGCTGCGATTCTACCTCCATGATTTCTGGAGTCTATGTCATGTTTTTTTTTTTTGATGACAGATTTCCAAGCTCCGAGTGATGAGAAATTTAGAAATTTTGCAGTGTTAACGGAAAGGAGGAGACAGAAACCTGGAGAATGGAAATGAAGCTGAGAAAAAATGCTAAGAGCTCAGGAAAAAAAGGCTCTTTCCAGGAGGGAGGAGAAGCGCAATTCTAGGTTGAGTGCACAGCACACACGGATCTGAAGTTGGAAACGCGAGGGGTTTAAATAGAGAAGCGAGAGTTTCTTCTAGAAACAATTTTGGATGTCTTGTTGTTTGGATCATCGAGTCGACTGGGAAAAAAATTCTCAGAGCTCTGGAAAATATTTTTTAAGTGATGAAAAAAAAAAAAAAAAAACTTTTGGTTAATTTTTATCATGTCTTCTAGACATGATAAAAATTAACTGTCCCTCCTTTTTGTCTAGGAATGTTGTCTCTCCGTTTCTAAAAATAGATCATGAACTCATTCTTGGAATAATTGCCTTGAAAAAGGGTGAGTGATGGTCTATTTTTAGAAAGGGTGAGACATCCTTCCCAGACAAAAAAGAAGAGAGAGTTAATTTTTATCATGTCTAAAGACATGATAAAAATTAACCAAAAGTTTTTTTTTTTTTTTTTCAATCTCATCTAGAAATTTTTTCTAGCCGACTCGATTTTCGACAAGACATGACATGACCATTGTTTCTTTTTTTTTAAGAATGGATTCTCGTTTCATCTATCCCTTTCAACCCTCCGATTTGGCTTTGGATCCGTGTCCTTGCTTCCACATTCAGAGCTCTTTTCTTCAACATTTTCGTTGCAGGGGAAGAATCAATTCTCTCACGACGTTTAGATATTCTTTCAGAATGCTAGAAAACTCATTCAAAGAAGAAGTATCTAAGGGTGAGTTGCCGGTTTGAGGAAAATTCACCGAGTCTTGGAATCGGATTATTCCGAATCCGTCTGTATGGCCAAACTGTAAAGGTGAACCACCCGATTTAGGAGAGCATAGCTAATAGTAAGATCCATCTTTTTCCAATTTTTGATTTGAATATACTTGTTTCTTCTTACTCGGAACTTTTCCTTTTTCTTCCTCCCATCCAGGAACTGAATTCCAGTGGAACGGAAGCATTTGTAATAAACTGTTGTTTCTTGTTCCACACGCCGGACCTTTTCAGTGACCATGGCCGTCGTTTTTCTCTGTGTGTGGACCATCCTAGGTTTTCTTTCCCCCCCATCTTGGAAAAAACTGGAAAAAAAATTGGGGGATGCCATTTTGAGAAAAAGCTGACGACCCTATCTTGGAGAATGAACATGACCGCTCTACACACCCTTTTACTCTCTCTCTCTCTCTCTCTTTGAATTGGGAAGCCATTTTGGGAAAAAGCAGACGACCCTATCTTGGAGAATGGAAATGAACGCCTCTCCCTCTCTCTTTGAAATGGGAAGCCATTTTGGGACCCTCTATTCTTGGGGAGGGAGGAAAACTGAAGTCTGAAGTCTGCATTTCGCGCTGTCTGAATGCGGAAAGCCCTTTTGGGAAAAGCGGACCCTCTTCTTCTGATCTTGGAGAACTGGAAATGAACGCTCTACACGATCTCTCTTTGAATTCAGAAGGTATTTTGGGACCTTCTAATGTTGGAAAACTGAAATGAACGCTCTCTACACCTTCTCTCTCTCTCTCTTTCTCTGAAATGGGTAGCCATTTGAAAACTCCCTAACTTTGGAAAAAAAACAGAAATGAACGCTCTACACCATCTCTCTTTGAAAATGGGGGGGTGTCATTTTGAGACCTCCCTCCCCTAAACTTGGAAAAAAAACTGAAATGAACGCTCTACACTTTCTCTCTTTGGACATGGGTAGCCCTTTGGGGACCCTCTCCTCTTGTAGTGGAAAAAAAAAGAACTGAAGTGAAGGCTCTACACAATCTCTCTTGGAATGGGATCCATATTTCGGGAAACGTGGATCACCTCATGCTGGAAAACTGAAGTGAACCACCAAGATTGGACTCTATATAATATTTTTTTTTAATTGACATCATGACCCTCCTCCCATTTGTTATTAAAAAAATTGTTTTTTTTTGTTTTGGTTTTTATCCCATTTCCGATGTGATTTCAGAAATGCAATTCCATAACAGTTCAATTTCATTCGAGGTTAAATGATCTAAACAGTCTTTGACCCACCCATCCGTATGATTATTTTCTTCTCCTTCCTGTTGCACCAAATTTTGTAAGTCCATATAATCATTCCATACGGGAAGGGCTGGATCCTCACAAGGCTGTCTTGAAACACTTGGAGTCTCTTTGGGATGAGTGGAGGGATCTAGGATGTCTGGACCCGGCTGCGATTCTACCTCCATGATTTCTGGACCCGTTGGAACTTGTTTACCCGGCTGAAATTCTACCTCCATGATTTCTGGACCCGTTGGAACTTGTGAACCCGGCTGTGATTCTGCCTCCATGATTTCTGGACCTGTTGGAACTTGTGGACCCGGCTGACATTCTACCTCTACGATGTCGGGACTTTTTGAAGCTTGTGGACCCGTCTGACATTCTACCTCTACGATGTCGGGACAGGTTGGAGAAGAAGAAGAAGAGGATACTGGAAGAGGTTCTGTCTGTGAGGAGTCCGAAAGAGGTTGCCTGTTTGAACAAGTCGGGGAAGAAGAAGAAGAAGAAGCTTCTGGATTCTGAAGCGGATCTTGCACGCCAGGTAGGTTCCGGTAAGTCGACCGTTTTTTAAGAGGTAATTTTTTTTTCTTCCTCCTCATCTTCAATTGTGATGACTTCAATTTCATTCCGTTGCCGGGTCGATTTTGTTTCGGGCCATGACGACGGTTTGGTCCAGCTCCTCTTATCATCTAAGGAAGGGATGGGTAAAGGTGGCGGAGGGTTTTCTTCTTCTTTTTCTTGAAACATCATCGGCGATTGGAAAGAAATCTCCTCTTTCAATTGTTTCCAAAGCGAGTACGAGCACCGA